TCTTATATAAGATGAAATGTATACACAGTACATGTAACTAAGTATGTATATTATATGTGGATTATCTTATAATAAATAGAACTTTCATAATTTTCATTATATGTATATATCATTAATATTTTAATGTTTTCAAAATATTATATACATGCACGAGCATGTATATTTTTTGTATATTTTTCCTTATGTGTAGTATCATTTAGTATTATTAATAATTATCGGTTTTCATGAAGAAATATAACAAAAATAATAAAGTGTAGAAATAAAACAATTCCTAAACAGTCGTGTAAAAGTAAAAGTATTCTCTTTTAACATCGTTTAAAGTCCTCTAGAAGTTGTAGACAGTCGTGGAGTCTTAAGTCGTAAGAAATTGACCATTTCTAATAGAGTATTCTTCTTATAGTTGATTGTGATTGATTAGTTTCCTACGACTTAATATTCCATCTACGATTTCCTAATATCATTTTATTTTTTATTTCTTATACAAGAAATAGATAAAAATCTATATAAGATGAAATGTATACACAGTACATGTAATTAACTATGTGTATTATATGGATAATCTTGTAATAAATCGAACTTTCATAATCTGAATAAATTTCATCATATGTATATATCATTAATATTTTAATGTTTTCAGAATATTATACATATGCACGAGCATATAATTTTTTGTATATTTTTCCTTGTGTATAGTGTCATTTAGTATTATTAATAATTTTCGGTTTTCATGAAGAAAATTAAGAAAGTGTAGAAATAAAACAATTCCTAAACGGTCGCGTAAAAGAATTCTCTTTTAAAATCATGTTTAACGGATCCTCTACACAGAAGTTGTAGACAGTCGTGGAGTCTTAAATCGTAGGAAACTGACCAATTCTAACAGAGTATTCTTCTTATATTTGATTGTGACTGGTTGGTTTCCTACGACTTAAGACTCCACCTACGATTTCTATGTAGAGGATCGTTTAGAGGATTCTAAAGCCTCCTGTTCTACCGCGTAAGCATGTATACTTTTTGTATAAGAAATACTTCTTTCTTTTTCACCGATTCTCAAAAATCCTTTTCCAGGATTACAGTATTAATACGTAAGCATTAATACGTGTCTAGAAAGTGGAATCTATACCGAGAATGATCAAAAATTTCAAAATTGACATATTTTTTTATTATTTCTTAGTGTAACATAGCGTCTTAGCTGTCATGTAGTATCATTATTTATGAAAAAGTGTGAAATAAAAGGTACTTTGTTAGAATGTTTACATTTTTATTTATGTACTACAAATACATTAGAATTGTTTTTAAGGAAGACATCCCAAATTAAAACATTTTAAGATATAAATAATTATTGCATTCAAGAATTTTTTCATTTCCATATTTTGAATGTTTCTTTAAAACAGGTTATTGTTAAAATTCTAAGAATTCTAATGAAATCCTCTTACTCGTACTCATACGAAATTAAATCCAAAATTGATAGAAATTTTCGATTATTGAATCAAAACCTTCTGGATCGATGTTGCGTGTATGTAAAGGAAATTTTTTTTCTTTGGAATGTTAAAATATTTTCCGAAGATTATTTTGCGTTAACTAATAATTAAATCGAAAAATATTATAATTTAAATTACTCGTATTGCAAAAATGATTTTATTCTACTTACCCTGTCTTTGTAAATATAAATCTGTATCTAAAATGTAATATAAATCTTATTATATGTGTTATTTGTAAATTTACAAAACAACATATCATTTATATGTGTGTGTGTGTGTGTGTGTGTGTGTGTGTGTGTGTGTGTGTGTGTACACATAAACAAGATATAAATTTGGGCATGGACTTAAATACGCAAATATTTAATTGCAAATTACACATTACATTTATTTTCAAGTATTAGTTAGCATTGCATTGACAGATAATAAACATATTTATAACCCCTCTTTCTTATAATCTTTTAATATATAATACAACTTATCATACCATTAAAACAATTGATAGATTTGAAAAAGAATTATTTAAATAAATTGTTTTTGTCTGTTTTCTATTATCCAATGGGGAATGTATGTATTTAAATCAAATATGACATTACTAGCTTAAATATATTGTCCAACAAAAGTTATAAAAACAAATTAATTAATTTAAACAGATGAACAATTCTTTTTTAATGTCAAGGTAGAGATAATGTTGAATAACACTGAAATTCAAAGAATTCAAACAAAATCCTTGAATTAAATCATGTGTTTTATAAAAATATGATTACGTATTGTCTGTCGGTCTGTACATTTTATATAACATTATTCATTTTAAAAAACATAATATTTTTGTTAAGATACACAAAGATAAACATAATTTAGTGAAAAAAAATTAAAAATATCTCGAACTACAAGTTTTAAAATTACAACTCACAAATGACATACTTGTCTACATCTATCTCCAAAGAAGGACCTCCATTTGCTCGCTATCTGCACTGTGTAAAATTTATTGTTTTCAATAATACAACTATGTTGCACTGAAAAAGAATTATTCATTTGACTGAATTCTTTTAGATTGTTGTTATTATTTTTAGTAAAAAAGAATGTACTTAAGTCACAAAGAACAGATTTCAAATATATACATACTCCAATTAAATAAATAAGGACTAAATTAATAATTAAATAAAAAATTCTTTTCTAAGGTGAAGACTTATATACAGCTCAAATGCATTAACTAATTCCAACTGTATGATATTACACCGAAAGACTTTTGCCGAATACAGAACATCTTATTTTGTTGGATTTCCAACATTTTTATGTGGAAAATTAAAAGTAACGAGAAACGCAGCAAAAAGTTCTAGCAATCATTTTAATCGTCCTACAAAATTATTTTGATAGTCTAACAAATTTGTTCTCAAATCTGTATCTAGCTAAATTTTTTATATCCTTCAATAAAATCATTCACTTCATGTACATATTAAAAATAAATAAAGTAAGCAGTAACCTTGGATTAATAATAAAATACAGATTAATAATTAAATATGTAGTATGTTACACGAATGTTCCAATTATGTAGTGTTATATTACGAACACACAAAGCTTATTTTAAATTCAACTTCAAACCAATTTCTTTTTTAAAATAAACTATACATTTTAAATTTCCATTGGATTGTGAATTTCAAAACAATTTTCAAAACATTCACGAAATTCTATTTATCTATTACTACTAACGCTTATGACCGCTATTATTCTACAGTTTCTTAAACCATTGTTTTCTTGTTACATTCGAAGAAGCAGTAACAAAGTGACATACCGTTTATATAAGTAAGAAGACAAAGACGTGTCTCTGACGTTGATGTAACTAAGAAATTAAAGCAATCAAGCTGTATTTTGCAACATAATTAGTAAGTAAATGACACAAATACTTGACATGTAAGCACACATATGATATAATATCTTCATTATTCTAATTTAAACGATTATGAGACGATCAAAGTTGTTAAAATAAGTAAAACATTTAACAATTTTATAAAATTGTAAGTATAATACAATAATGCATGTCAGCTCACAGAATTATCATTAACTCATGAAATATATAAATATATAAAAACAAAAGAATATTATGAGTTATAATTTTAAACAATGTTCAAAATGAATACAATTCAACTAGATAAATAAAGGCTAAAGAAATCAGGCTGTATCTATCATGGTGATACTTAATAAAACGTTTAAATATTCCAAATTCGATCATTTCATTATAATCCTTTTCAGTAGTGCATGTAACTTTATAACATCAACATTCCTCAGATTTAATATTAAATTTATTACAATATAATAATTTGTAAATCATTACGCGTAGCTTTCAGTAAAAATTAATTAATTAATTATTTAATAGCCCTGTGTTACAGTTTTAATTTAGCATTATGGCAGCAGCGCCAAATAGGGATGCTTACATAACTGACGTTCTTCCTTATCGTGTATATCCTTTA